GTTTAGGGTTTAGGGTTTAGGGTTTAGGGTATATATATATATATATATATATATATATGTGTGTGTGTGTATATACATAAAGAAGCGGGCCTCCTTCATATAGGAGTGTATATATCATCTATATTTTATGCATATAATGTATATATATATATATTATGTATATATATTTTATATATAATATATATGTATTATATATATATATATATATATATATATATATTTATAGGGGCCCCTTCTATCAAACCCCGGCGTAACCGTCTAAACGAGGGGCCCCTCTAATCCTAAAATATTAATAGTATAGCAATAATTATAATTATAATTACTATAATAAAATATAATAATAATAATAATAGTAATAAAAATCTAACAATAATATATCTTTTTCAATCCGAGTTACACCTGCCTTAAGGGGCCCTCCTTTAGGAGGGAGATCTGTATAAAGAAGGAAGAAGGGGGTTACGTTGGTGCACTTGCTGCTGTTGCTGCTGTTGCTGCTGCTGCTGCTGTTGCTGCTGCTGCTGCTGCAACTACTGCTGCTGCAGCTGCCCGTGCTCCAGATGCTCCGCCTTCTGAAGTTGCTCCTATTACTGCTACTGCAGTAGGAGTAACAGCAGCAGCTGCAGCATCAGCAGCACGAGCTACAGCAGCAGCAGGAGCTGCAGCAGCAGCAGCATGCAACATCAGCATCAAACATGCAGCATCAGCATCAAACATGCAGCATCAGCATCAAACATGCAGCAGCAGCATCAAACATGCAGCAGCAGCATCAAACATGCAGCAGCAGCATCAAGTATGCTGCAGCAGCATCAAATATGCCGCAGCAGCACCAAAAGCTGCATCAGCATCAAGCATGCAGTAGCAGCATCAGTTTCTGCTGCAGCAGCATCAAATGCAGCAGCACAGCACGAGTTTCACGTGCTGCGCAATCACAAGCAGAAGCAGCAGCAGGAGCTGAAGCAGCAGCAGCAGGAGCTGAAGCAGCAGCAGCAGGAGCTGGAGCAGCAAGATGATGATTAATTGCAGCAGGAGTATGATGGGTATCTGTATATATAATGCTGTGTGGTGAAGAAGATATACATATATATATATATATACTTATATATATACATATATATACATATACATATATACATACATATATTTACATATATATATATATACATATACATATATATACATATATACATATATATATATATATTTAGAGCGGTTTATGAGTAATAGACTTTTGCTGAAAACAATCGGTGGGTGCGGGGTCATCGATAGGCGGCCATTTGAACTCGGGGTTGGGTAAGAAGTCGCCGTCGACGAAAGTAAAAGAAATAATATGTTTCTTTAACCACAGACGCAACGCTGTTTGCTGCGTTTTGTTCGGCACCCTCTTACACACATCCCTATATAAATCGTTCGTTATTATGCACCCTCCTCGCATTAACGCGTACTGCAGCAAATAATAAACAAATATATATATATATATATATATGTCAATAAATTAATAAATTAATATATATATAAATTTATATATATATATGTATATATGTATATTTATATGTGTATGCATTGAGGGGATTCTTTAAAAGAAAGAGTAAGGAGATATTTCTATGCAAAGGTGGAGGAGACACTTGGAGACAGTTCTGTATAAATATACAAAAGGAGACAGTTTTATATAAATATATAAAAGGAGACAGTTTTATATAAATATATAAAAGGGGACAGTTTTATATAAATACATGAAAGGAGACAGTTTCATACGAAGGCAGAGGAGACTGTTTTATTGAGACACAGACGAGAGACAATTAATAATAAGAAAGAGGAGACAGACAGTATAGCAGATATAAAGAGGAGACAGTACAATAGATATAAAGAGGAGACAGTATAAAAGACATAAAGAGGAGACAGTTGAGCAGACAGCAAGAGGAGACAATACTATATGTGTAGCTGCAGTTAGCTTACCTTTATACAATAGCAATCATCATAGTCTTGGGGAGGAGTAGAGATAAGAACCCCTTCTCTCTGCAGCTGTTTGAGTGTCTCTACTGAGTCAGGGAGTCTTGCTTGGCTGACAGGCAGCTGCGCTCTCTCCTGTCTCCTTGCTGCAGAGACAGAAGTATAAGAAAGAAGATATTCGGGTACAAAGACTCTGACTTTATAGCCCCTCTCTTGATAATAATTGAGCACAGCAAGAATACCTTGAGTAGAGAAGGTTTTCTTGTTGCTGTTGCTGCTGCTGCTGCTGCTGCTGTTGCTGCCTCTCTCCCCACAGAGACTGTCTCCATGTCTTATAGCCACATTACTGCCGTCTACAACAATAAGATGCTCTCTTTCACCTTCAGGAGCTCTAGGATGCGATCCCCACTCAAAAGCAGCTTCAACACTGCCTTCATGCTCTTCATAGCTAACATACGGGGGCCCCCCCCTATCCTGGGGGCCCCGGGGGCCCCCCCCCACACGTAGGGGGCCCCTAGGGGGCCCCCCCCCTATATATCCTTGACTTCCTCTGCGATATCTCCACTGACCTCTCCCTCTATAGAAACCTCTGCTGCTGCCTCCTGCTGCTATGCCTCTATAAGAAAATGCAAATGAAGAAACAGATGATGATGCTGATACACCGCAGAAACCTCTACCTCGAACCTGCTGCCCATAACCTCGCTGCTGCAGCTGTAGCTGCTGCTGCTGCTGATGATGATGATAATGCTGATGCTGCTGATGCGCCAAAGGAGACAACTCTAAATCCTCTAGCTCAGCACCGTCAGATATCTGCTGCCGATGCTGCTCCTGCTCCTCCTCTTCTTCTAGCTGCAAGTGCTGCAAACGTTGCTGCTGCTGCCGCTGCACTTCTGCTGCTTCTATCTCTAAATACATCTTCTGTACAGCATCTGCCCCTGCTACTACTTGCTGGTAGTTTGCTGCTTCGCGGGCTTCTTGCAAACGCGCTGCTTCCTCTGCAGCGTGCTGCTGCTGCTGCTGTTGCTGCTGCTGCTCCCGCTGCAGCACTGTCTGCAACTCCTTACTCTCCAGCAGCAGCAGCACCAAACGCGCCGCACGAGCAGCAGCAAACGATGAATTCGCCCACAGATCTTCTGCTGCTCCCGTTGCTCCTGCTGCTGCTACTCCTGCTGCTGCTGCTGCTGCTGCTGCTGCTGCTGCAGGTTTAGCGCTTGCAGCAATTCCCCCTAGGCTTATACGAAGTTGCTTGATGCTTCTTTCGGTTTCGTTGTCTTGCTCGTTATCTTCTGCTGCTGCTGACTCGCTTTGTCTCTCCAACTCACCGGGGGCAGACACTGCTGCTGCTGCTGCTGCTGCTGCAGGAGCAGCAGCAGCAGGAGCAGCAGCAGCAGCAGGACCCGAGGGCCCCGAAGAGAAGCCACCCTGCTGCCCATCATACGGAGCACTATGAGCAGAGCAAACACGAAGGGGAGCCTTCAGCAGCAGCAGCTCGTCTTCATCTGCTGCATCTGCTGCTGCATCTGCATCTGCTGCTGCTGCCGCTGCATCTTCACTTGCTGCAGCGGAAGCTGGGTGCGATAACTCTGCTGCTGCTCCTGCTGCTTCTGCTGCTGCTGCTGGTCCACCTGCTGCTGCAGGTGCGCTTGCTGCTGCCCACCCCCCTTGCTGCTCCTCCCACTCCTGCTCCTCTTCGTCCTGCTGCTCCTGCTGCTGCTCCTGCTGCTGCTCCTGCTGCTGCTCCTGCTGCAGCAGCAACGTTTGCTGCGGTAATGCCACCGGCAGCTTAAGGAGACCCAGAAGGAGACTGTCTTCTGGTAGAGACAGCTGAAGCGCATTTTGCAGCTGCCCTATTTCATCGTTATCTCTTATAATAGCTTCTTGCTGCCTCCGCTGCTGCTGCTGCTGCTGTTGCTGCTGCTGCTGCTGCCGTTGCCGTTGCCGTTGCCGCTGCCGCCGGGACTGCTGCTGTGTCTTCGCGTCCTCCTCCTCTTCCTGCTGCTGC